GTGCCCAGTTCAAGCACCAGAACTGGCACACACACAAAAAAGGAAAAAAATCCCATTCACAACACACAACTATATTAGAATTGTGTTAAATGTAGCTCATGTTCTTTGGTTTGCCATAATCCCTAATACTGCCTTTTATCCTATACCTAGACCATTTTCTGCTTTGCCAGGAGGAATTGGTGCTTATTACTCTTCAATATTATCAGTGGTAAGGTAGAGTTGACTCATACCAGGAGCTCATCAGAACCAATTGTAACATTCTTCAATAATCATCTAAGCTGGTTCTTAGATGGTAGCAGGAAACCACATAAATTGGTAAAAATTATAAATCAGGGATTGATTTTCCTTCCCAGAGCTCTTTTACTAACTTGCCTCTGAATCAGAATCAAATCTCTTACTACATACAGCAAGGTGCAAAAACAGGATTGTACCAAGTCATTAAGCTACAGTTAAACATGGCTTCCTGACTCCTAGGCCTTCACCATATATAAGGGCAACCCAGGAACCAGACCTTGCTCATGTATGGTGGGCAGGAGCATTATCAAACAAGCCCCATTTGTCAGTTGAGATAGATCCTGACAGATCCAGATGTTGCAGCCAGGCTGACGTTTATTGGTGTCTAATGATAGAGCTCACAGCATTCCCCTCTTCCAGGTAACCAAACAAGAAACGGGAATGGAGAATAACCCAGAAGATGGGGCCTACATAAAAGGGCTTTTCCTAGAAGGTGCCCGTTGGGACAGAAAAGTCATGCAGATTGGAGAGTCTTTCCCCAAGATCCTTTATGACCCATTGCCCATCATTTGGCTGAAGCCTGGTAAGAGTGCAACGTTTCTGCATGAGAACATCTATGTGTGTCCGGTCTACAAAACAAGTGCCCGGAGAGGCACCCTCTCCACCACAGGCCACTCTACTAACTACGTCCTCTCTATTGAGCTCCCAACATACATGCCTCAGAAGCACTGGATAAACCGAGGGGTGGCTTCGCTGTGCCAGCTGGACAACTGATGGCATTTGTGTCAAAACAAAGTAAATGGCATCTTGTTCTCTACAACAGTCTAGCTTTTTTTTTTCTTTTTTAAAAAGGGATTTATTACCATACAGTAGTTGTAAAAGGGGATTTTCACTGTAACAATCTCATTCATGCAATCAATGTATCCCCATCAACATTACCCCTTCTTTCTTCTCCTTTTCTTGAAATAGTTTCAACTAGCTGCCTTTTTTTTTGAGTCATAGTAGAATGAAGATGGTAATTATATGGAGAGCAATCATTATAAACCAGGTATTTTACAACAACTCTATAAAGTAGCTTATCATTATCTGCATTTCATAGCTGTAGAAGCCATGTACAGAGAATATAGGTAATATCCCCACAAATCAGGCAAGTAGAATTGATATTCTTCAATTTAGACTGTTAGTCATTTGGATTAATATCTTTTGTGGTTATCTTGTGTATGAATGTGTGTGTCTTGGTCCTAGGTTTGAACTCAGATCCTGGGTGCTGTCCTGAGGTATTTTGCTCACTCTACTTGAGGCACAGCTCCACTTCTGCATTTTATATCTATATATATCATTGGTAGAATTAGGATCCAATAGCTTCTCGGTGCTGGGGATCAAACTAACCTTGTACAATCTAGGCAAGTTCTACATACATTCTCAGTCCAGCTCCAGTTGTTTATCTTTAGCCCACATAAAAGAGCTAAAATGTCAGGAAAAGAGTTGAAAACTATATTTGTTGCATGCCTATAGTATGTCAGGGTTTGTACCCAATACACTGTTAGATATCTTGCTTGATTTTATATACTATAAACATTGTCTCTCCCTTGAGTTCAGGGAGATTAAGTAACTTGCTTAAGATTACCCAGTTCTTTATCACTATAGATCCAAGTGGTTGAAGCCATGTATTTTCTGCTGCCTTCTGTCTAGGTACTTGGTACATTTTCAGCTGTAGATTGTTGGAAGAGATGTGTAGTTCCAACAACATTTACTGTGTCCAAGAAAATTCAATCACTTCTATTTCCCTAGGATAGCTAGAAACAAATCCAGAGACAAAAATCAAACTCATGATGGATTCTTCACTGACTCTCACGTAGTTCTTTGGCTCTAAATGGCTTTTTTTAAGGGTGTTTCCTGCTCACTTCATAGTCAAGCAAACATAAGGCTGAGAGTTTTCACGTCTGGCTTGACTTCTTTTCTTTACTAGAACAAATGTTCTGACTCAGGGCCTCTGATTATTCAATGTGGAAAGCTTCTTTGAGAATCAAAAAAAAAAATACTCCAGAAAACCTCAGTTTTAATTTCTTCATGGTGCTAGCCAAATTGACTGAGGACTCTGAATTCTTAGATAAGCAAACCTTCCAACTCTAGGAATTGAGTGCAAGAGAAGGTCTCCAAACCTCACCCCAGGACATTAGAAACAGTGAAGAATCAGCATCAAACTCGAAGAAGGTATCTTAAGTTTGTTTTTTCAGAAACATACCTTTTCCCAATGTGTGTGAGAATCAGCAGAAACAGACAGCTGTTGATTAGTCATGTGAGATAGAAAAATAGTCAAAATCCCAAATCCCAACTCTTGGATCAGTAGGTAAACCACATCGTAGGCTATACAGTAGCTTGGCAGTAAGAGTGTTTCTAAGAGAACAATTGAAAGTTAATTGCAGTTTTGGAATGCCAGCTTCAGCAACAAAAAAACCGAGTGAGTCAGGGACTGTCTCATTCCTCAGGGGTTAAAGGACAAAATGTTTTTTTCTGTTATGATGGATTATATATTTTTTGTAATATAAAACATTTCTTTCTCTTTGAAAACAAAGATTGCCCTAAATTTGAGGTCGCTTTCAATTGGGGCCAGTATGGAAACAATGTCTCCTCCTGGGAAAGAGCAAGATGCTTTTCAGAAATCATTGTGATTTAGTGACTGGAATCCTAGGGCAGAGCTGGTCAGAGACCAACCCTGTGAGAAAACAGCAAGCCTGGTTGTAACATGCAAACTCAGTGGATGGCATCAGGCAAATCGAGTCATTAAGCTAGTCCCTGCTCTTAAAAATTTGTTAAGCTGGTACAGTGGCTCATGCCTGTAATTCCAGAAACTTAGGAGGCTGAGATTGAAATATTGAAGGTTCAGGCTAGTCTAGGCAAAAAAGTTTTATGAGACGGAGGTGGTGCTGTGGCGCTGTGGCTCAAGTGGTAGAGTGGTAGCCTTGAGCAGATGAGCTCAGGGACAGTGCCCAGGCCCAGAGTTCAAGCCCAGGACCAAAAAACAAAAACAAAAAAGTTTATGAGACTGATGTGGTGGTGTATACCTATCATCCTAGCTATGGTGAAAAACAGGAGTATTAAAAAAATTGAGACCCTATCTTAAAATAATCAACACAAACAAGGGCTGAAGTGGGGAGAGGGAGGTGGCTAAGTAGTAGAGTATCTGCTTAGCAAGCTTGAGGCCCTGAGTTCAAACCCTAGTACTGCCAAACAACATCTAGCTGTTGAATACACAACTATATTCACTCTTCAGTGATAGAAAAAAATACATTAAAGAGTGGATGTGGTAGGTTTGCCCCTTAAAACACTGAAGATGGATTTTATAGTCTCAAAAATGAAAAATGCTATTTAAAAAAAGAAAAAAATGTTCAAGTGCAGTGGTATATACTTATAATCTTAGCTTTTGTGAGGATGAGGTAGGATTGTGAGTTCAAGGCCAGCTGGGCTATACATTGAGTTCAGGCTAGCCTGGGCTGCATATTAAAACTCTGCTTCAAAAACAAAAAAACACAAGTAAAGTAAGATGTAACTTACATGAAAGATTTGGATAGTAATTGACAATTGTTTTTATGTTACAGTGTGTGTATCCATTTGTTTTTGTCATAGTATATATAAACACACTATATATTGTCATAGTATATATACAGCATTATATATACACATTATAGTTATTATATAAATATATATATATATATATATATATATATATATAGAGTGTGTGTGTGTGTGTGTGTGTGTGTGTGTGTGTGTGTGTGCTTTGCTTCTTCACTAGAACAAATGTCCTTACTCAGGGTTTCTGATTTTTCCTGAATGTGGAAAGCTTTGAGAACAAAATAAACACATTCCAGAAAACCTCAGTTTTAATTTCTTTATGGTGCTAGCCAAATTCTTTTGGGGGATTCTGAATTCTGAGATAAGCAAACCTTCCCAATGACTCTAGGAATTCAATACAAGAGAAGACCTCCAAATCTTGCTACAGGGTAATATAGTGAAAAATCAGCCTCAAACTCAAAGGTATCTTAGTAATTGTTTTCAGAAATGTATCTTTTCCCAAGGTGTATGGGGAATCAGAATCAACAGACAGCTGTCATGTAATATGGAAAGATGGTCAGGATCCCAAATACATATACAGCATATGTATTATCTTTGGAAAGGGGCAAGACATAAAAGATTCACATTTAGTTAACATTTCTGGCATGTAGAAGATCTTCAAATTGGCTAGCAATTTGATGATCTTCAACTGTGGAGGCTGATTGAGAAAGATGGTTTCTACACTCTGTAGAGTTAAGACAAAAATTGTAAATAGTTGAAATCACCTTGGGTTGCTTAGAAAAGGACTGTGAAAGGAACCATGATAAAAATAGATAAGTCATATCTCAACTGGACCAGAATAGCCAGTCTTTCCTCCAGTGTTAGGAACAGATTTGGTGGACCACCAAATGAAGCCCTTGGATTCAGTTCGCATATCCAAAATTGCATGGGATGTACTTTGGACTCACCTCCAGGAAGGGGACACTACCACAGGGGCCTACTGGAAAGACAGTGACCAAGGGATGACAGATTTTTGTGCTCAGAGTGGCCATGGGATCACCAACATACCTGCTAGCACACTTAAACTTTTCTGTCTCCAGAAAGACTTAGTTATATACATGATATAACTCTACTGATATATTATGCTTCTGTTTTGGAGACAGACTCCATCCACTGCATCACAAGCCAGTTTTGGAAAAGATGCAAAGACAAAAATCAGAAGTGATTTTTTTTTATTAGTCATACCCACTCTCTTTGGAGGTATGAGAGGCTGACATGGATGCCATGAACTCTCAGATGACTTCCCAGGGAAGAGTGCAAATCCTTTGTGTTTTCATCTCTATTTGTCCCCTTTTTTTTATTTAATTTGAGAGTCAGCTTAGACCATGTACTTTTCTATTATGCTAAAGTACAATGAATGTAAATGAGTTTCAAGGAAACTTTTCAGATACCAAGTACATCTTTCTTAATCATAGAATTTAAGATAAGGTAAAATTTGCACTTAACTAAGGCATGAACTTTTGTGTATGTGTGGGCAGGGGACGTGGGGGATGAATGTCATAAAGGTTCCATAGAAAACCACAATTAATCCAAAGATGGACTTTCTGAGGGCAGTTCATCTGGAAATTAGAAGGGTAAAAGGACAGCAAAAATAGCAAGTGTAACTTGAAGAAAAATCCCTCAAAAAGATTCTGAGGGTGATAAATAATTTTAGAGTAGCCATGAGAACTTCCAGCAACTGGCTAATTTCTTTCCACCAGCGATATGTGAAGAATGGCATTCCCAGGTAAGCTTCAGTGAGGATGTAAGGCTCATCACCCTAGAGTTAATTTCATTCACTCAGCAGCCATACTCAGAGGAGGGCTGTACAGGTACACATCAGTGGTAAAGACCAATTTGGAAACACCAAGAAGATATTTCAATTGTTGCCCTTAGTCAAGGAGAAGGGTCTTATTGTATGATTTACAGTCAAGAGCAAATTGGTTCATCATTTGCAGAAACAAATATCTTCTGGGTTAAGAAACTTCATCATGAGACTTGAGATATACTGGTTTGGAAAGTTTCCTCAGTTTCTCTTGGGTTCGAAGTCCTCGGCCTTGTAGTGGTGTAAGGCTCATTGGAGGCAGATGAATCTGAATAAAGACAATGATGGTATTAAGAATCATACTTGAGCCAGGTGCTGGTGGCTCATGCCTATAATCGTAGCTACTCAGGAAGCTGAGATCTGAGAAATCTCGGTTCAAAGCCAGTCTGAATAGGAAAGTCCGTGAAACTCCAATTAACCATCAGAAAACTGGAAATGGAGCTGTGGCTCAAAGTGGTAGAGTGCTAGCCTTGAGCAAAAGAGCTCAGGGACAGTGCCCAGACCCCGAGTTCAAGCCCCACAACTCATGGCTGAAGCTTATTAAATTCACTGAAGATTTACCATCTACTGAGTGTTAAGGCTATCCCTGACTCACTAACATTTGCAATCTTTGTATTTATTGATCTTTATAATCTCATAAGGGATAATTTCAATATTTATAGATTAAAAAAATGAAGAACCAAAGAACTTATATACTAACTAAGATTATACATTAAGTGATTGGAACCCAGAATCTAATTCATGGAGCAAAATAATGACCACAGGTCACACAGCAAGATGAAATTTAAAGGAAGGAAAGAAAAAACTGTACAAAAAGATGTTTGGTGCAGAGAAGAAAGTTGGGACTAACTTAAAATACCTACCAAAGTAGTAATACTATGGCTGTGATATTTAATTTTATGTGCCAGGCTGATTGGCTCAGATTAAACCTGTGAAGGTATTTCTAGTTGAGATTAGCATTTGAATTAGTGGACTATTTATTTATTTGATAGTGGTAGGGCTTGAACTCTGGGCCTGGGCCCTGTCCCTCAGCTCTTCAGCTTAAGGCTAGCACTTTACCACTTGAGCCACAGTACTACTTCTGGCTTTTTCTGCTTATGTGGTGCTGAGAAATTGAACTCAGGGCCTCGTGCATGCAAGGCAAGCACTCTACCACTGAGCCACCTTCCCAGCCCTGGACTTTTATTTTTTTGTCAGTAGTGGGGCTTGAACTCAGGTTCTAGGTGCTGTCCCTGAGCCATTTTGCTCAAGGCAAGCACTCTAACAATTGAGCCACAGCTCCATTTCCATCATTTTGGAACTGAATTGGATATGAGTCTTTTGGACTTTCCTCCCTGGCTGGCTTTGAACCGTGATCCTCAGATCTCAACTTCCCAAGTAGTTAGGATTACAGGTGTGAGCCACCAGTGCCTGGCATAGTGGACTTTAGATTGCCATCTTCCTATCCATTGAGGGCCTGAACAGAACAAAAGAGCAATGGGAGAATTCATTCCTTTTGTTTCCTGACCACCTTATATAAGCTGAGACATTTTATCATCCAGCTGTCCTCAGACTGGATTTTTGCCAGCCTTCTTGGTTCTTATGCCTTCAGATTCAGATTGCATTAAGATAGTGGCTTTCTCCTGCTACTTCTCAGCTTCCATAACTGCATAAGCCAATTCTACATAATCTTTTACATATACTTAGATACATCCGTATCTATATCTAGATGTATACAACCTATTCTGTTTTTCTGGAGAGCTCTGGCCAACATAAGGGTACACTTTTATAACCACAATCAATGAAAGTAGAACCATACACAAAGATAAGATGCAGTAAATTATAAGAAGACAATAAAATACTATACCTAGAACCTCACATATATAAAAAATGTATATCACACAAACATTAGTAGGACCAGATGAATAGAATGAGCCAATATAATATCAAATTACTACAAAGAATTAAAAATTGGTAATTTCTTCTGTTGGAATAGAAGTTATGGTGGTTACTCACACATAGAGCTTTTGATAATTGTTTTCTATTTTATATATTCCTTTAATGTTATAACTTTATTATTTTAGTAACAATAAGAGGATAAATAGCCAAGTGCCTATAATCCCAGCTATTCAGCTGGGGCAGGAAAGTCCATGAGACTCTTATCTCTAATTAACCAGCAAATCTGGAAGTAGGGCTGTAGCTCTAGTGTTAGAGTGCTAGCCTTGAGCAAAAAAGCTCAGCAACAATGCCCAGGCCCTGAGTTCAAGCCCCAATACCAGCACAAAAAAACAAAACAAAAGGTGAAGGTCAAAAGAGAAATCTATATAAAGAGGAGCTTGTTTTCTCTTCACATGTGGGAAAGCCATACAGAAGGAGAAATCAGACACTCCTTGGTACCTCAGTTTGTGACGATGGGCAGTGGTACATGAAGGCAACCCCAGTCTACCTCTTATTGTAGTTCTAGGCTTCTCAGTAAGCACTAGCCCTCTTGATACCTTCTTAGACACAACTGGGCAGAACAGGCTAGGTACCCACCACCTACAGGAGTCAACACTTACTGGTCTTGGGTAAGGAATCTGGTAATGCAGTCCAATTTCAATCCTGGCAGTGCATTCATCTATACACTGTTTAATCAGGTTTATGTCTGTGAGCTATTAGAAGGGAAAAACAAGTGAGGTTTTTAAGCATCTTTCTAATGATACACAAGTATAGGTATACGTTTTCTTAAACTTTTTCATCTCACTAGCTACTAAGTTAAATATTGGTAATCTGAAAACTCTAAATCAATTTAATATTAAAACTTAGACATACACATATATGGTGAAAGAATAGTACAACAGGTAGTAAAGTAATAAGTAAGTGTCCCTCCTATCTCGTATTCTAGATTCCCTTCTCAATTTATCAGCAGTTATGTGTCCTTCCATGGATAGTTTATCCATACATAAGCCCATGTATACAGACACAGCTTTCTTCTTGTTCTTACACATAATGCTCATTTTGTTCTGAAGCCTCCTTTTTCACTAACATAACTTGAAGCTCTCTCTACTTCATACCTAAGTAGCCTTACATTTTTAAAAGCTATACAAAACTCCAGCATTAGGTTTTATTATAGTTTAACCAATTGCTTACTGAGGGGATATGTAAGTTATTTCCAATCTTTGGCCATTATAAACAATTCTGCTAAAGAACCTTCTGAGAAAAAAGTTGGCTCATCTGGAAATACATATAAAAGATCAATTCTTAGAGAACTGCTAAGGACAAAGAGTCTAAGTCATGACTTCTACATGTGACAATATTCTCGAGTTACTTTCTAAAGTTTGCATTCAATTTTATAGTAGTCAAAATTTAAGTTAGTCAAATTGTGGTAATCTGCTTTTAAGCAGAGAAACAAAAAAGTTGAGTCTAAAGGGGAGAAAGTGTCATCCTAAGGATGGAAAATTGACAGGTGGATTTGAGTTTGCCAGAAGTCCTCAAAGTTGAGCTAGGATTACATCAGCTCTAGATGACAACCACAGTGAAGCCTGGGCCTGTGTGGCTCTGAAATCACAAGAAGTTTCTATCCTTTGGAGCCTCTTGGAGTTCCAGGAACAGCAACACAAGGAACTGTAGCTGAGTCCCTTGGGGCAAAGGTCAACTTACTGACTCTGTGCTTCTCAGAAGGTATTGCTGTGCCAGTCATATTAGGAATATATTTCCGTGTTCTTATGTGCAGTTAAGGAGATAGCTTTGGACTATCAGTACAATTGAGGTTACAAGAAACTGCTTATGGGAGGTGGCGCTGTGGCTCAAGCAGTAGAGTGCTCGCCTTGAGCTGAAGAGCGCAGGGATAGCGCCCAAGCCCAGAGTTCAAGCCCCATGACTGACCAAAAAAAAAAAAAAAAAAAGAAAGAAACTGCTTATGATGACTTGAGGAACTGGGAGAAAAGCCCCTAACAGACAGGGCTGAGGGGTCTGGGGCTCTACTTGTCCATCTGAACCAACGTAATGCTATATACTCCAAATTTGCCATTCATGAGCTGCCAGCATGATTTTTTGTGCTATTTACATACTACTTGTGTTAATATTAATTTTTCTTTTTTCTTTTCCTGCCAGTCTTAGGGCTCAAACTCAGGGCTTGGATGCTATCCCTGAGCTGCTTTTGCCCAAGGCTAGTGCTCTACTGCAGCCACAGTGTCACTTATGGCTTTTTCTGAGTAGTGTACTGGAGATAAGAGTCTCATGGACTTTCCTGCCTAGTCTGGCTTTGAATTGAGGTCCTCAGGTCTCAGCTTCTTGGGTAGCTAAGATTGTAAGTGGAAGACATCAGCACCTGGTATAAAGTTTTTCTTTAAATGGATTCTCTTCTCAGGAACAGCAATTGCAAAATTCTCGTCTGACATTCTCTTTTTCTAATAGTGCTAAAATGAGTACATATATTATGTATATATAGCATATATATTATACTATAATTTAATAAAATTATATATATATATATATATATATATATATATACCAATGTACCTCCTCTCCGCACCCCAAATAATTTAATGTAGCATCAGTGGTACATATACCTCCCTTGACTCACCCTTGACTAGTCCAAGCAGAGGCAAAGGAAGGATTTCTGCAATAGTAAAAACTAAATTGTTCGTAGGCAAGTAATCCAGCAAAGGTTTACTATGCACATCCTATGATATCCTCAGCACCCAGCAGGACATTGTCTCTGCCTTCAGCTATCAAAGATACCACCTATGCAGAACAACTCTGATGCTTGAAGCTATAGAAAAGGCACAGTGACATATAATCAATGAGGGTAATGGCTGCTGGAGACTGCTGTAGAATTCACTATAGATGGCCGCCACGAAATTGAAAGAAGCAACAAAACTCAGAAAGGTTTCCTAGAGGTCAACCAAAGTTCAAGTATTTGTGAATGTTTATGAGTGAAAACTGCAAGGCAGGTCTCTTGGGGATCTGCTAGAAAAGTATAAGATACTGTCTATCCAGGAACTGAGTCTGTGTGTGGAATGGCAATCCCAACAAATAAAGCAAAGAAGAAGAGTACGACCAATAGCTTAGAAACCTCAAAATTTTATCACCCATTTTTTTTTTCAATAAAAAATCTCGGAGATCTAGGTGCTGGTGGCTCACGCCTGTAATCCTAGCTACTCAGTGGGCTGAAATCTGAGGACTGCAGTTCAAAGCAAGCCAGGGCAGGAAAGTGTGTGAGACTCATATATCCAATTAGCCACCAGAAAACTGGAGTGGTAGAGTGCTAGCCTTGAGCTGAGGGACAGCACCCAGGCCCAGAAGATAAGCCCCATGACCAACCAAAAAAAAAACATTCAGAGCCCATCGCTCCAATATATATGTACTTATACTGATTTGGGAATGTTTGAATTTATAAATTATGGATGCTCCTTGACTAATAATGAGAACATGTTCCAATATACTCATTGTAAATTAAAATTTTAATACTATACATTTAATCTATCAAACATCATAGCTTAGTCCTGACTACCTTAAACATGCTCAAAATGCTTGCATTATTCTACAGTTTATAATCATCTAGCATAAAGCTAATAAACTGTTTGAAGTTTCAAGATTCAGACTTTTTCCATGGAATGTTTATTTATTGCTACTGCCCCATTGTAAAGTAAAAAAAAAAAAAAAAGTCAGTTGGGCACCTGTAATGCTGGCTACTCAGGAGGCTGAGATCTGAAGATCACAGTTTGAAGCTAGTCTGGGCAGAAAAGCCCAGAGTCTTATCTCAAATTAATCAACAAAAATAGAGCTGTGGCTCAAGTAGAGTACTAGCACTGAGCACAAAAGCTCAGGGACAGTACCCAGGCCCTGAGTTCAAGCCCCAGGACCAGCTCAAAAATTAAATAAGTCATCTACCATAAGTCAGGGACCACGTGCATGTATTGTACTAATTAGTTCATTATATATATATTATAAAATAAACTTTCTGTGGTAGTGGGGATTGAATTTAGGGCCTTAGCTCTGTTAGGCAAGTGCTCTACACATGACCCATGCCCTCTGTTCTTTTGATTTATTTTTTGCCCTCTGTTCTTTTGATTTAGTTTTCAGATAAGTCCTCATGTTTTCATGCAGGGAGTGTTTCTGGATTGCAATCCTACTTCCTGACTCCCAAGTATCTGGGGCCACAAGTGGGCACCACCATGCCTGGCTTGTTTTGAAACAGGGTCTTAATACCTTTTGCCCAAGAGGGCCTTGAAACCATGATACGATTTCTGCCTCCTGAGTAGCTGAGACTACATGCATGTACCACCAGACCTGGTCCAAAATAGACATTGTTACAGAATGAGGAAAATAAATAGCAGCAGTAGTACTTTATTTCTCTTTTTTCAGAGAATTGTTTAAAGACCTGTGGGGTATATAAAATCTAGTTTGGCAAGCATAGTCTACGGTAAGAGCAGAGTGAGTTTGGAGAAGCTGGAGAAAGGTGAGAAGAATAAACTTCCTTGTGAAGTTAGGGATTCAGAGAAGGGAAGGTGCTTCAGGAGTTTGTGTGGCAGCAGTCGTCTCAATTACAAGGTTTATTTCTGAAACAACTTCAAGGGATGCTGTCATGGTTTTGCTCATTTTATATCCCCAGACACCTGCTTATTTGTTGAATGAAAAAGAGAGTTTCAGAGTGAAAAGAGAAACTAGGACAGAAATAGGCAAGCTTGCTGGGTATCAGTAGCTCACACCTGTAATCCTACTTAATCAGGAGGCTGAGATCTGAGGATTGAGGTTCAAAGCCAGCCTGAGCAGGAAAAGTCTGTGAGACTCTTATCTCTAGTCAGTCACCAAAAAGCCCGAAGTGGAGCTGTGGCTCAAGTGATAGAATATTAGCCTTGAGCACAAAAGCTCAGGGATAGCGTCCAGGCCCTCAGTTCAAGCCTCAGCACCAATGTATGCATGTGTGTAGACACACACACACACACACACACACACACACACACACGAAATGGTGAGCTTGCAAAGAGCTTGTATAGACAAGTGGCTTCTTCTGCTTTGAACTGTTAGGCTGAAGTGAGGGCCTTTAAGGAGTTGGTCAGAGTCCAATGCTAAGGTATTCAGAAGTGGCCTCAGCATAAAGAGGCTGACTTTCAGAGAACTCCTAAGATAGTGGGAAGAAATATGGAAAAGGTTGCCAAAAGTAGTGAGAATCAATTGTTTGGAGGTTTCACAAGAGGATTGTGATGGAAATGAATCAATGAGATGAGAACCGGCTGAACACAAGTTAGGCTCTGAAAGCTTCCTTCATGCTTAATGCCAGGCCGTCTTCCTAGGAGACTAACAGCTAGTGCTTTATGGTTTGCTGGGAGGGGTCAAGGCTGGCTCCCTGGTGTCTGGGTATGCAGTTCCATCAAATTAGCTAATGGGGTGCCATTTTACCCAATTTTGTGGTCCCAGAGGGCAAGCTCACTGTGCTAGCAGAAGAGGCTTGAGTTCAAAGCTAAGTGACAGAGGAACTCTGTGTCCTCATCATAGTCTTTTTTTCCCCTCTGAGTAGGTTTATAGTTGGTGGCTTAGTCCTTTTCAATGGAAAACCTTTGTACCATGCCCCTTCCTTGTGGGAAATGGCTGCCAATGGACATAGAATGTGAGAAATAGCAATTCCTTTGAAACTCTTTTGATTTGACTTATGTCACCTGGCTCTGAAGAGGTCTTCTGAGGAGGAAGAGCCACATACTAGATGGGTTGAGACCAGGAATAAGTGAAGAGAGACATACTAGCTAGCTAAGCTATGTGCGGGTCCCTTCCTGCCTCATGCTCTGCTTCTGTGATTTGTGAGGTTCAGTCTTCCCCATCCCAGATAGAAATGAGTGAAACAAACACAAGAAACTCCTCTCCCTCCTGGAGCTGCCAATCTGGGCTTACTTACGTTTTTGTTTTTCTGGAACAGCGCTCTGGCTTCACTGAGTATGTACTGTTTTTCTTTCATGGTGTCTTCCTTCTGCCCTGATGCTGCCTGCCATTTTCTTGCAAGTCTGAAAATTTTGCGATAGAGGCCAAGGACTTCTTGCCGTGTTGCTGTGGTCATCTTCAGACCTGCTATAATAGACAGGGGAAAACTGGCACAAAAATGTAATTTGATAGTATGTGTATATTTTTTTAAAAATCAAGATATTTAGCTGGGCACAGGTGGCTCATGCCTGTAATCCTAGCTACTCAGAAGGCTGAGATCTGAGAATCTCAGTTTGAAGCCAGCCGGGGCAGAAAAGTCCTCATGAGAATCTTAACTCCAATTAGCCACTCAAAAACAGGAAGTGGGGCTATGGCTCAAAGTAGTAGAATGCTAGCCTTCAGTAAAAAAGAGCTCAGAGACAGTACACAGGCCCTGAGTTCATGCCACAGAACTGACCAAAACAATAACAACAACAACAACAACATGTTTAATTAGGTCAGGCTCTGGCGGCTCATGCCTGTAATCTTAGCTACTCAGGAGGCTGAGATGTGAGGATTTCCTGCCCAGGCAGGAAAATCCATGAGACTCTTATCTCCAATAAAGTACCAAAAAGCCAGAAGTGGAGCTGTGGCTCAAGTGGTAGAGTGCTAGCCTTGAGCAAAAAAGCTGAGAGACAGTGCCGTAGTCCCTGAGTTCAAACCCTAGGACTGGCATGCTCGGGCATGCATGTTTGTGTGTGCGCGAGAGCAAGCGCACCCCCCCCCCCCCCGCCCCACACACACACATACACAGATGTCTAATTAATCTAGAAATAACTGTTCTTTTTCAACAGCTCTGTTGGGTAATATTTCTAGATCAGTATAATAGAAATACTGGCACTTTTTATTTTTGCTGGTATTGGTTTGAACTTAGGGCCTTACACTTACTGGGTAGCTAGGCAGACTATTATTTGAGCCATGTTTCCAGTTAACAAATTTTTTTTCTTTATTTTTAGGTAGGGTCTCATGTTTTTTTCACAAGATGGTCTGGGAGTATGATCCTCTACTTATGTGTCCTACATAGATGGGATTACAGATGCATCACCACACTTGGCTGACTGTGAAATGAAGTCTCAATTTTTGTTTGGATTGGCCTCAAACCACTTCGTCTCATGGGCTGACTTGGAACTGCAGTCCTCAGATCTCAGCCTCCTAATAAGATTACAGATTCACCTCCCAAACAGCTTGGGTTATAGGTGTGGCCCACCACACCTACCTAACACTGGGAATTTCTTTTCTTTTTCTTATTTTTGTGCCGGTTCTGGGACTTGAACTTGGGGTTTGAGTGCTATCCCTGAGCAGCTTTGCTCAAGGCTGGTGCTCTACCACTTGAGCCACAACTTCCACTTCCAGTTTTTTTGTGTATGATTAATTGGAGATAAGAGTTTCACTGACTTTCCTGCCTGGGCTGGCTTTGAATCACGATCCTCAGATCTCAGCCTCCTGAATAGCTAGAATTAAAGGTGTGAGGGGCTGGGAAGGTGGCTCCGTGGTAGAGTGCTTGCTTTGTATGCATGAGGCCCTGGGTTCGATTCTTCAGCACCACATAAGCAGAAAAAGCCAGAAGCGGGGCTGAGGCTCAAGTGGTAGAGTGCTAGTCTACAGCTGAAGAGCTGAGGGACAGCGCCCAGGCCCAGAGTTCAGGCCCCTCGAGTGACAAAATAATAAAATAAAGTGTGAGCCACTGGCCCCCTGCTTCTTCCTTCCCCCCACTTTCTAAAAAGTGATCCTGGGGTTTAAACTAAGCCTCATGCTTGTTAGGCTCATACTCTTACCACCTGAGCCATGCTTCCAGCTCTGTTTTTCCCTAGCTACTTTTGAGAGGGCTTCGCTTCTAGCCACAGTATGCACCTGAGACATGATGTGCTATTCTAAGCTTCCTGCTCTTGGTGGGATCACAGGCAGCCGCACCACTACATCTACTTCCCTCTGTGGAGATGCAATCTTGTGGATGTTTCTGCCCAAACTGGCCTGATACTGTGATCCCCAAATTTTAATCTCCCTTGTAGCTTGAGATGATACTTACCAGAATGCTTTTAGTGGGTATTCCAGTAAAATTCTATCACTAAAGATATGTCACTATGTCTAGAGAAGGCACATTCTAATTAAGAACTAGGATTTAGCTGGGAGCTGGTGGCTCACACTTGTAATCCTAGCTACTCAGGAGGCTGAGATCTGAGGATTGTGGTTCAAAGCCAGCCTGGGCAGGAAACTCTGTGAGACTCTTATCTTCAATAAAGCATTAGAAAACAGAAAGTGGCATTGTGGCTCAAGTGGTAGAGTGCTTGCGTTGAGCCGAAGAGCTGAGGGATAGCGACCAAGCCCAGAGTTCAAGCCCCATGACCGACCAAAAAAAAAAGAACTAGGATTTAGCACAGATCACAAACTCAAGTGTCTTCCAGAGCTGAAAGACAGTATAAATGAGGGAACTTGGCTGGCTGGGGACTGAACAGGACAGGTCTCTGAAAGATAACAGAACTCAGTTCTAGTTAGCTACCATCATGTAGAAATGAGGCTTCTAGATGCCAGTCCCCCTTCCCTTTTTATTGGTCAGGGCTTGAACTCAGTACCTAATACTTTTAATCACTGGTTATTGCTCTAACTAATCCCTTTCTCATTTTTTGTTGTTGTTGTTGTTGTAGATTTCCCCATAGCTTAAGAATAGGAGGCAGGTGCTAGGCACTGGTGGCTCATGCTTGTAATCCTTGCTACTTAGTAGGTTGAGCTCTAAGGATTATGGTTAAAAGCCAGCCTGGACAGTCCTTAAGACTCTTATCTCCAATTATCCAGAAAAAAGCTGGAAGTGGCACAAATAGTAGGGTACCAACCATTAATGAAAAAGCTCATAGGTAGCACCTGGGCCCTGAGTTCAAGCACCGAAAAGCAAAAAACCAACCAACCAACCAACAAAAGAAACCAAACAATATGAAATAAAAAGAGAAAAAACACCAAATAATTACTTTGAAAATGTGAGCATCATGCAGGTCAAACAAAATGAATACACGCAGGCTCAGCTCTACTCAGAAGCTGTGAGGTCTTAACTTCTCTATTAGTTCCCCATAATCCTTTTTTTTCCCTCCTTGGTCCAGTAACAGGCTGCTTTCACTTATTGGCTAAGTGCTCTACCAAGTAAGCCATGCCTCCAACCCCTTGGTTGTTTCTTTTTTTCCTCATCATAATCTTTTAGACAACATTTCCCCAAAGTGTCTACCTTCTTGCCCAATAAGAACAGCCCTGTGGGCTGGGAAGGTGGCTCAGTGGTAGAGCGCTTGCCTTGCATGCATGAGGCCCTGGTTCCATTCCTCAGCACCACATAAACAGAAAAAGCCGGAAGTGGCGCTGTGGCTCAAGTGGTAGAGCGCTAGCCTTGAGCTGAAGAGCTGAGGGACAGCACCCAGGCCCAGAGTTCAGGCCCCATGACCAAAAAAAAAAAAAAAAAGAACAGCTCTGTAAGTATTACTGAAAACCTCTCTGATGACTGAAGATCTTATGACCCACCTCTAGGACTTTATTCCAAAATACTAGCTTTAATTCCAGAGGGTTTATTTAGCTAAATGAGAACTGACCTAAGTAATAGTCCTTCAGGCTATCTTTTTGAAAAGTAAAATTCCTGTTATCTTTGTTTTGGTCATAAAACATTTCAGATACTAAAACATTTGGAGCAATCCCTTATTCACAACAAACCTTAAAGAACAAATTATATTTACACTTGAAAACCTCTACCCCCTCCTCCTTTCCTAAAATTACACTATCCTTAATGTCACTTATTGTCATGCATTTTCACAATTTACCTTAAATATTATTGCTTTGTAGGTTTAAAAAGTTTTCATGAATTCTGCAACTTGCATTTTTTTTGCCCATCATGTTTGTAAGATTCAGCCATGTTGCTAAATCTAGCTCTATCTCAGTCTCACTACTGTATGAAGACATGCCCACATGCTTGCCTATTCTGTTGGTAGGCATTAGGCGCTTTCCTTTTTATTTTAACTCATGCAGAACTTTAGCTTATTTCTTTACTATTAACATTTCTACATCTAAAACTTCAGGGAAAATAGAGTGGGGTGGGGAACCCATCACTGGAGTATTCTGCTTAATTAGACTTTTGGTAGTGTTTTGATAGAGGATCAGTTAAGAAGGGAAATATTTGATTAGCAATTAGCAGGGTCAAGCACCTGGGCATGTCATTCTGAGTCCTAGGTTTTCCTCCAACAGGCTTATCGGGATCAGGGAGGTGGCTGCTTACTGCCATTTGAAAATGTGATCCCCAGGATGCATACAACTACTTGGAATTTGCTTCCAGTGATCATGAGCAAATGTGCATCTCAACAGCTACAGGACAATGAGAGTTGGAAGGAGGTGTGCTTATTCGAGAAACTCTAGGACCTAAGTTCTTTACAAAGAACTCCTTTGAAGATGATTGCCCCTCCTGCTTGTCCTGACCCTGGTGACCTTTCTTGAGCAATAAAGCTTAACCATTTGATGAAAAGTCTGAAATCACTACTTCACCCAAATCAAAAGTAAACAGAATCAAAAGTATATGCCAATTCTGAGGTTTAGGATGCATGCTACAGATAAAAAAAGGTTCATGAAAGGAATGAATAAAAACCAATACAAAACATCATGCGTAATAAAAGCCCAGATGAGATGCTATTTTTTCCTGGTAAGGAAACATGTTTCTGAGTTTCTGGCTCTTCCTGACTCCATGGTTTTATTTGAAACCATGAGTCAGTTCCTGTGAGGGACAGTAATATCTATTAATGCTGCACTTCCTTGTCATTAACAAACAACACTTCTTTAACTTTGAGACACTTCCAGAGGAAAGTGAAGGTCAAGCATATTAGAACCACAGCAAATTTCTCCTGACTCTAGCTGGTTTTCTTCTACTACTCATGCCAGTCATCCGTGGCTCCTACCTGTAATCCTAGCTACTCAGGAGGCTGAGATCTGAGGATGGGGGTTCAAAGCCAGCCTGGGAAGGAAAGTATGTGATACTCATACCCAATTAACTACTCAGAAAACGCCAGAAGTGGTGCTATGGCTCAAGTGGTAGAGCACTATCCTTGAAGCAGCTTAGGGACAGCACCCAGGTCCTGAGTTTAAATCCCAGG